GTGTAGATGTGAGAATGAGAATGTTGATCACCTTTTTTTGCATTGACTTTTGGCATAGAAGCTTTGGAACAAGTTTTTTGACCTTGGGGTTTTTTTCTTTTGTTGCCCCAAGGACTATGATTTCTATGTTTTATATGGACAATGTGAGATTTGAAGGGAATTGTAGATGAAGGATTATTTGAAATAGTGCTTTCTTTGCTACACTTTGGGTGATTTGGAAGGAAAAAAAATGCGATGATATTTGAGGATAAGAGTGAAGAGCTTACGGGTTTATGGGATATAATTTATCTTTTGGCATCTTTTTGGGCCTCAATGTGGAAGGAATTGCAAGATATAACTATCTTTTATATTAAGACAAGCTAGAAGGCATCGTGCAGCTTGTAAATTATTCGCTCTTTGTGTCTGCATTGTACATTTTGTGGTGGACTGCTTGTCCACACTTGTTTTTGATTTTTTGGTTTTATTGTAATAATCTATTGATTATCAATGCAATTGTGTTTCTTATCGAAAAAGGATAAGATTAAGAAAAAATGGCAAGGCTGGAAAACAGCGGCAAAACTGGTTCTCGTAGCCTTTTTATTGGGTTTTGATTACCACATTTCAGTGCTGATATCGTCATCGTAACCAATATATTCCCATCCAGTTGCAGCTTTACATACTCCATGTCCATACGTGGACATGTGCAAGATTTCTACTTGTAAATGAAGGAAATCTCATGATATCCACGGGAGAAGCTGGAGTTCAGTTTGCAAATCAAAAAGATATGGTTAGTTGGGGCTTAGAGGCGTCTAGTTTGAAACAAGCCCTAATGGCTAAAACTGCTTGCAAGTATTCCCAAACGGACACTTTACTGATGCCCGGCCAACCTCAAAAGGGGACAAGAAGATGGACAAGCGTTCTCCGGGGAAGGGATTTGTTGAATGCTAATCTCAAGTGGCAAGTGGGTGATATAGAAACATTTCAGGCACTAGGACAAAATTGGCTTCCAGGAGTGGTCAACATACATCGGCATAGAAACCTTCATGTTAGCCTCCCCACTCTTAAGGTGACACACCTCAAAAACCTTGATACCAAACAGTGGGGGAAAGTGTTGGTCAAGGCCCTGTTTCCTCCCCATTTGATGAGGATAATCGCTTAATCCACCTCCCACATTAACCTATCAATCAGGCTATCATCTGTCCTTAAGCATGATTGGTAAGTCAAACAACTCCTAGGGTTAGTATATCACCACACATCAGCGAGGGAACTTCGGTCCAAGGTTTGGACTTTAGGAGTGCCTGAAACCATTAAATTTTTCGTCCGTAGATGTCTCACACCATATCTCACAATAGATTTTTCCCTTAAGCAGAAAGGTATAACAACAAAGGATAAATGTTTAATATATCAGGACGCAGAAGATCAATCACTTGTTCACTGATTTATCAGAATTGCTACGAGGGCCAGCCAGGGCTTGGATTTGATAGGGGTCAAAGGACACCGTTCAGAGTGGTTAAAGAGCTGAGTAGCCCGAAAAAATAAAGACACCAATTTAAGTCCATCTCAAAACTCCAAATGGTATGGAAAAGCGCATACCAACAGAAACTCGAGGGCCACCCTATGTGACTTTCTGATACAACAGGAATGGCTAAGGAATGTTGTTGCTGTGTAGCAGGAACATGGACATGTGCACAAGTAGCAAGTAATGTTACTTGGGCCAAACCCCCTAGATACTGGAAATAATCCAACACCAGTACCACCACAGATTAATCATTTGTACTCTCATCTGAACTGATGGGGCATGGTAGCAGGAGGTAAGTGGACAGGTATTGCAACAAATGGGAGCAGCTACAAATTCGTAGTTGCAGGCATAAGCAGCGGCATATTTAGATGCACAAAAAAGGGCACCACAGCAGAGTTTGTCTTGCATTTGTTGTGGCCACGTACTTTCGCCTCTTAGAGGAGCTAAGGAAGCATTTCAGTGTTGGGATTTTACTCCAATCATGCATCAGTACTAATTAACATGCCACTTAAGTATATGGACCTGAGGGCCACAATAATGTAATAACTCTAAAAAACACAATAAAGGGAGAGGAAAAGATTGAATTCAACTTCATGATTACAACACTCGTCTAAGATTTTTCAATTTAACTCTTAACATACGTGAAAGACTAGATTACGTATGGTATTCAAATAGGTTCCAAATGTAACTCTCAACATTTAATTAACACACTGCTTGCTAGAATAACACACCACTTATCCACTAATTAAGAAATCTTATAGTTCAATACAACTTCTAAAAACAAGTTTATATTCTAACAATCATATCATCAACGATATCTCTAGTATGGCGTCTACTTTTTTTGTTTCAAACTATGTGAAGTCTGCAGGCAGTTTGTCCATGATGCCCCACAAAAAAGCCATAATAGCTTGATCAAGCTACACCAGTCCTCCTAATTAAATATGACTGCTTAACAGTTTCTCAATGTATGCATGTTGAAGACTACACAAAAAGATTTGCTCAAATTTCACCGACCAATCATATACTTATGAAAATAGACACAGACACTCAAAATCAATCATCGATCTTATTGAAATCTTTCATTTCTAAAGAATATATTCTAGGGCTGTCAACGGACTGTCTAGATTCAAATCCAATATAAAATTAAAGTTTGGAATCCGATTCGTTTACCTGATGGATTTCAAAATCTTAATCCATCTCCGCATTTGTTAATAATCAAATATCCGATCCAATTACCCGATCCAATCTGAAAATTTGAATCCCAATAAAATTTCATAAAATAAAAAAAAAAATTTAATTTTACTAAATTTAAATTCACTTTCAACTTAATTTAATCAACCAATCATTTTATTCAATAATTTCTGTTTAATTTCATGTCAATCTCATAATTTCTCTAATTATGTATGTAGTTACAATAATTTCTCTTATATATATATATATATACCGAATCAAATTTACATATATCCAAATCCAACCCCGTTTAAAAAAACTTAATCGGATTCGGGTAAACAAATTAAAAATGTTAATCCATATCCGGTTAAATGGACTCAAATTCGGATTAAAATCCACTCCATTGACAGGCCTAATATATCCTGTTTGTTCTCCTAATCGTGTGGAGAAGTAACACCTGATTTTTTTTTGGGCAAATATATGCATTACATCAAACAGCAACCGCAATTACATTCTCATTTCTATAGCAAGTCCAACTAGATGACATATCATACATGATAGTCTTGGGCAGAGAACGAGTAGCACAAACCAGGTTCACACCTTTCTACCTTATTTTGAACCATATTAGCAAAAGAAAAAAAAAATCTCCTCACTACTAGACCATACAATTTGTGGATCTAATTCCATCAATCATATTTATAAAGCCAAAAAATTGGCACACCCTAGGTGTCATCATTCTGAATTTGTGTATGCAGTCGATTACTCCGTTCATGTCCTACATTAGAAATCGAAACAGCGGTAGAAAAGATATCCCAGTGTTACTTTCTGATAACCACCTATTCCGTATGGCATTGATTAAAAAAAAAAATCACTTCCATATCTTTCTTGTAGTTGGTGACTATTACTATTGAAGGTATAACATCCAATGTCTAATGGGAATTCTTCAAGCACATATTGGGAGAAGTTAGGAAATGCATTATGTCCAAACTCCCAACCAAAATTGCATCCAAAAAGTAAAATTTCTTGGCAAATCTTCATACATTTCTCCATTGAAAAAAGATTGCCATAAAAAGCAAAAGCTCGTAAAATAAGTTCCTTTTCTGGATCGATTATGCAATTACGCAATACAAACCCAAAAAAAAAACACTTAGGTGAAACAACCATCCTCGCATAAAAGAAAAAATTTTGTACCAAAAAGACAAAGAGGTGATTAGAGACCACGTAGAATCCCCGATACAACACTAACTAGCAGTTTGGCAACTTAAGGAGGGAGGGCTGCAGTTTTGCAAGTCCTAACCTTTTAGATTAAGTTAGCAGAATACCTAGATTCATCCGCTCAACATGAATTCTCCAAGCTATGGTGACCCAACACAATCAAACCCACATTGTTGCCATGGTTTTAGATTAGGCATATCTGATTTATTGGTTAGGTGATATACATTTTTGGTTGTCAAAGAGGGTGTTTCAAGCACAACTTTTATTGATTATTATCTGTTGTTACCCACTAAAAAACTTAAATAAATCAGATTTCACCTTTTTTGCAATATACCACCCTAAGACCCGTTTGGATGACGGTAATCTTGGTTGGAAATGGTATTCTCATTCCTAAATCCTAGATCACCTTGTTTGGATAGTCAATTATTCAGTAATCTACTCGGGAATATGATTACTACTGTAATCAAATTCCCAATAATGGTGAGTATCCTAAACCCATGGTCAATGGTAGGAATCTCGTAACTACATTGATTGGGCATTCTACAAAAAGAATAAAAATCTCAAAATGAAGTTGTTTCCCAAAAGTAATGTCATTTCAAACACTTTTCTAAAACTTTTTACAAAAACTATTTTCGAATACTTTTTTTTGAGATACAATTCAAACACGACTTTAATTCTCCTAAGATCAATTTTCTTTCTAAAATTAAGTTCTTTCCTAAAATAATTTGACAATGACATTAATTCACACATTAGATAGCTGACAATAACCAAACACTAAATATGAGATTACCATAGTAATTGAAACCCAGATATCTCATTACTAGGAATGAGATACTCATTCTTAATTAAGATTACTATCATCCAAACGTCCCCAAGAAATATCAAATCATTCAGGTGGAGTTTACAATGTCTTACCATGTCTGCTTTTTCTTCAACCAGTCCATAACTAATACACTTAAATCTTTAAATTCCCCAGGGACCCCCAGTCCAGATGATGGAGTTGTATCCTATAATTCATTAAAGGCAACAAGGCCTTTTTCTTATATTTCTGTATTTCATCCTATAGCATTCTTGCTGGCCTGGAACCAATATGACATCAATCACTAAGCTGCAAAGGAAGCCCAAAAACTAAAACAGAATCAGAAAAGAAGTAAAAATTGCTTCAATAACAAACACAACTGATATCAGCCAAAATTATCTCAATAACAAAACACAATCACCAAAAGTAGCACTAAACATATCGAAAAAAACGGTAGACTGCTGTCAAAATAACAACAAAAACAATCAATTAGCATAAACCCAAATTTACCAATCTAAAAGAAATAAACTTACACTTGCGTGTATTTGCACAATATACCTCTGCCTCCTATTATTCATCATATTTCCATCATTATCCACAGACATTATAATTCCTAAAACAAGTAACAAAACATGATATTAATAAAAACACCTAAAACTCACTCACAGTCATAGCCAGAGTGTCAAATCCCCACCCTGCACTGACTTGCTCCTCCGATCAACGACCCTCTATTACCATTCCCCGTCAGTCCAACCCGCAAATCACCGCAAAAAACCCTCAAAAACCGCCTCCTTGGCCGCCACGCCCCGGCCTTAAACCTAACCATAGCCACCATACTCACATCAAAACTCACACTGCCGCTATTCCTCTCCGAATTAATCCCATCCACAACCCTCCTATCCACATATGCCCCCGACGCCGCAAAGCTCGCTTTAATGGTGGTCATATTTCTGGTGGTCTGGTAAAACGGTGGTACGGTGGTCGCCGCGAGTGAATCAGATCCGTGGAAAACCCTAGCATCGATGTGATCATAGTAGAGTTTGATTTTCTTGTTAGGGTTTCTCACGGTGAACCCGACGTCCCAATTTCCGGAAATTAGGGAAGTGGAGGAGGAGAGGTTGAAGTTGGAAACGGCTACTGAGCCGACTCGGAACTCGGGGAGGCGGGGACGGAGGATGAGCCACACGATGAAGATGATGGTGCCCGTGATGATGAAGGCGGCTATGATCACGGCGAAGATGCGGCGGATGAAGGTGGCGCGCTGGGCGGCGTAAGGGTTTTGTTGGTGGTAGTAGGGGTTTTGGGCGTAGTATGGATGGTGAGGGGGTGGTGGTGCAACGTATGGGTAGGCGGTGTTGGTGGTGGAGTAACCATTGGGGTTGGTGCTAGGTTGCGCCGGAGTTGCCGCCGGATAGCCGGTAACGGGTCTAGAGTGTTGATCATTCATTGTGAAGCATTGAGAGAGAGAGAGGGCACGGAAGTGTGTACAGTTTTATTGTTTATCAGGGAAGGTGAGGCCAAGTGGCATCTGGATTCTTGCACTTTCTAGTTCTTTTCAATTGGAATAAAATATACTAAAATTCGATTAATTTTTTTTTAATCTCCAAACAATTTTTAAGCTGATTAAGATATAAACTCCAAACAATTTTTATATACAAAATTCGATTAAAATTTGATGCAATTAAGATTTATTTTTTTATATATTAAAATTTAAGTTGATTAAATTTTTTTTTCTATATATTAAAATTTGAGCTGATTAAATTTTATTTTTTTATACATTAAAATTTGAGCTTATTAAAAGTCTTTTTTATATATTAAAATTCGAGTCAATTTTAGCTCTACTTGAGTTGTTAGTCCCGATTAAAATTCACTTCTAGTCGATTAAAATTTATATTTTTTTATCTATTAAATTTAATTCAACTTGATTAAAATTTATTTTTTACATATTAAAATTTGAGTCAATTAAAATTTATATTTTTTTATGTATCAAAATTTGGGCCTATTAAAATTTAATGTGAATTGATTAAAATTTGACTTGAAACTCGAATAAAATTTTAATTAGCTCTAATTTTAATTTTTAAAAAAATATAACTTTTAATCGACTCAAATTTTAATACATAAAAATAAATTTTAATTAGTTTGAATCAAATTTTAATAGACCCAAATTTTAATAAATAAAAAAAATTAAAAAATAGAGGGGTCTCATTGGAGATATGTCTATCTAGAGGGTTATGGATGAAGTTTTTTTTTCTAAAATATGCCTATCTGATAGGGTATCAGTGAAGATTCAGAAATAGAAGAGATATTCTTAAAGATATGATAAACAAAAAGAGTGCGATAGAAATTTTCTCAAAAAAAAAATTATAGTTGGGCTCTCAACTTTACTTTTGATTTTAATTTGGCCTCTAAATGTTTAGTTGTCTCAATTTAATTTCTTAACTATCTATTTTGTCTCAATTAAGCCATTTTGTCTATTTTCACCACCAGATCAACACTAAAATTGATTAAATTGGGCTAGTCTATAGTTGATTTAATGGTGAACACTGGTGAAATAACTTAATTATGACAAAATTTATAATTGAGAGACTAAATTAAGACAATAGAGAGTTTAAAGACCCTATTGAAATCCAAAGCAAAATTCAAGACCACTATAATTTTTACTTTTTTTTTTTTTTTTACGATAGTACTTATTCAACCTAGTTCTCTTTTTCTCCTATTTTAATGTTGAATGACGTTTTATATTTTGAAGAAACTTTAAATTTTTAGTTTATACGGAAGAAAATTTTCACATTGCAATCTCAATCAGCTAAAAATATAACAACATATTCATTGTTCTGTCCGATAATTTTTTCCTTAAAATTTTTGTACTCAATTTTGTTAAAAAACATATCACATTGTTGCCTTTTTTTTACACTGTAAAACTTTAATCTTTTAATGTGTAAATTAAAATTTTAAAGATTTTTTAGAGTGAAAAGTGTTATTTTCCTCTTTTATAAATATGGGTGAACACTATAATTTGTTTATCCCATTAATCGCAAAAAAATAATTGAAAGTAAAATAAAAAATAGATTAATTAAAAATAAGCACGGTGCAAAAAAAAAAATTGTTTTAAATATAATATAGTACAAGAAAACTATATGAAGCACTATATAATAGAACAAAAAAGAAATTAAAAATATAATGAAACATGATAAAGACCCAAAATAAAATTGGAATATAAACGTTAGATGAAGAGGTATAATTAATTAATTCGTTTCTTTAACAAGGATTGACTCAAACTTCTCGTCGGAAAAGTAAAGAATGATCAATTAGACTAGATCCTTACTCTAAGAATTTTGGTTGTTTCCATAAGTCGCCGATGTATATAATAAAGGATTAAGATATTATTTCAGCGCATTGTTTCAGTCACCGAAGAAACAAAAATTTTTCGAAAATATTTCAAAAACGTTTTAGAAATATAATGGGAATAGATAAAAAAAATTAATAATTTATTTTCAAAACACTTTAAAATATCGATCTAAATATATTTAAATATCTCAAAATACCTCGAAACATGATCTAATCACTTTTTCGTTTTGATTTTCTTGTAAATAGAAACCTTTTGACCATTCTAAAGCAATATTTGCAACTTAGCGTATATCGAATGGATGCTTTTGTATGGATATTCGGCCGTAACCCAATGCAACAAGTCCAACTTTGTTCATATCGGAAGAAAACGTCGTGTGGGTGGCTTAATGCGGTTCATTATTGTCCTATTTCCTTGCTAAAAAAGTTGTTTTTATAATATTTGTTTTGATAAAATACCTTATCAAGCAAAATGATGTTTTCTCGACTCTCTTGTGATCTACGAAATGAACAAACCATGAAAAAAAAGAAATCAATTGTCGACGAATTGAAGGTGCTCTGTGTTCTTGAATCTTTAAGTCACTTTTTTTTTTTTTTTTTGGTTATAGGGTGTACAGGTTTATGCCGATTATTTCTTTAAACTTAAATATTGGTCACGGTAGTCCGAGCAAGGTTAGAACATAATTCTTGAAGAACAATGGTAACGGACCCTAAAGAGATTTGAGAAGTGTTAAACCAAAAAACTCTAAATTATCAGAAGGTAAGCTCGATGACTAAACCATCTCACCTTGTAATTTCTAGGGACTATTAGCATTTGTAGAGAATAACTCTATATAGAGAAGCTCAGAAATTGAGACACAGAAGCACCAATAAGCCCACTTCATAGGTTTGGCAAACCCAACTGAAATGCCAACCCTAGTAACCACTAGCTAGGAACCTTAGTAACATACTTCGTGCCTCACTTTGGAAAAAATTTAATAATTTGTTATGTAGTTGTGCACAAATTTAGTTTTTTACTTATTATTTTTTTTAATTTTTATGGGTGAATGAGTGTGTGTATGTGTATTGTACGTGAGATTTCTCATACAATACTAAGAAATTTATATTATATTTATTAATTCATTTTATGGCTTTGACATTCTATAGCATTCTTGTTCAACTATTAAATTCAAAATGTTAAAGCAATGGTAGTGTAGACATGGAGAAAAGAAAGCCTCTCGCAAAACGTTTTCATAACCATTAGAGCTCATTATGATTTGTATGGTTGATAATTGAGTCGACTCTGTCAAACTCATTTTTTTAAATGAGTTTAAAAAATTGTTTAAATTTGATTCATTTAAAAAATGAGTCAAACTCGAGTCTAAGTTCAACATAAGTCAAACCCAAATAATTTAACTATTTTACATATAAACTAGTTGAGTTATGAGAATTCGAGTCAAGCCTTTTAGACTCGTTTTTGTAAATAAGCTTAAAAAATTATTTAAGTTTAACTCGTTTAAAATATACGAGTCTTTTTNGTTGCGCCGGAGTTGCCGCCGGATAGCCGGTAACGGGTCTAGAGTGTTGATCATTCATTGTGAAGCATTGAGAGAGAGAGAGGGCACGGAAGTGTGTACAGTTTTATTGTTTATCAGGGAAGGTGAGGCCAAGTGGCATCTGGATTCTTGCACTTTCTAGTTCTTTTCAATTGGAATAAAATATACTAAAATTCGATTAATTTTTTTTTAATCTCCAAACAATTTTTAAGCTGATTAAGATATAAACTCCAAACAATTTTTATATACAAAATTCGATTAAAATTTGATGCAATTAAGATTTATTTTTTTATATATTAAAATTTAAGTTGATTAAATTTTTTTTTCTATATATTAAAATTTGAGCTGATTAAATTTTATTTTTTTATACATTAAAATTTGAGCTTATTAAAAGTCTTTTTTATATATTAAAATTCGAGTCAATTTTAGCTCTACTTGAGTTGTTAGTCCCGATTAAAATTCACTTCTAGTCGATTAAAATTTATATTTTTTTATCTATTAAATTTAATTCAACTTGATTAAAATTTATTTTTTACATATTAAAATTTGAGTCAATTAAAATTTATATTTTTTTATGTATCAAAATTTGGGCCTATTAAAATTTAATGTGAATTGATTAAAATTTGACTTGAAACTCGAATAAAATTTTAATTAGCTCTAATTTTAATTTTTAAAAAAATATAACTTTTAATCGACTCAAATTTTAATACATNTCAATTAAAATTTATATTTTTTTATGTATCAAAATTTGGGCCTATTAAAATTTAATGCGAATTGATTAAAATTTGACTTTAAACTCGAATAAAATTTTAATTAGCTCTAATTTTAATTTTTAAAAAAATATAACTTTTAATCGACTAAAATTTTAATACATAAAAAATAAATTTTAATTAGTTTGAATCAAATTTTAATAGACCCAAATTTTAATAAATAAAAAAAATTAAAAAATAGAGGGGTCTCATTGGAGATATGTCTATCTAGAGGGTTATGGATGAAGTTTTTTTTTCTAAAATATGCCTATCTGACAGGGTATTAGTGAAGATTCAGAAATAGAAGAGATATTCNTATGTCTATCTAGAGGGTTATGGATGAAGTTTTTTTTTCTAAAATATGCCTATCTGATAGGGTATCAGTGAAGATTCAGAAATAGAAGAGATATTCTTAAAGATATGATAAACAAAAAGAGTGCGATAGAAATTTTCTCAAAAAAAAAATTATAGTTGGGCTCTCAACTTTACTTTTGATTTTAATTTGGCCTCTAAATGTTTAATTGTCTCAATTTAATTTCTTAACTATCTATTTTGTCTCAATTAAGCCATTTTGTCTATTTTCACCACCAGATCAACACTAAAATTGATTAAATTGGGCTAGTCTATAGTTGATTTAATGGTGAACACTGGTGAAATAACTTAATTATGACAAAATTTATAATTGAGAGACTAAATTAAGACAATAGAGAGTTTAAAGACCCTATTGAAATCCAAAGCAAAATTCAAGACCACTATAATTTTTACTTTTTTTTTTTTTTTTACGATAGTACTTATTCAACCTAGTTCTCTTTTTCTCCTATTTTAATGTTGAATGACGTTTTATATTTTGAAGAAACTTTAAATTTTTAGTTTATACGGAAGAAAATTTTCACAT